TTTTTGAAAAGATAAACAAAATCAACAAACCTGAGCTAGACTAAGAAGAAAAAAGAGAACACACAAATATATAAAATCAGAAATGAAAAAGAAGAACATAAAAACCTCAGTAATACAAAGAACCATTAGAGACTATTATCAACAACTATGCACCAACAAATTCGAAAATCTAGAAGAAATGGATAAATTCTTGAAAACACACAAACTACCAAGACTGAACCATAAAGAAACAGAAAGCATCAATAAACCAGTAATAAGTAATGATATTAAAGCTGTAATTAAAAGTCTCAGCTCAAAAGAAAGCCCAGGTCCTGATGGATTTACTGCTAAATTTTACCAACACTTTAAAAACAATTAATACAATCCTCCTCAAACTCTTTAAAAAAATTGAAGAGGAAGGAATATTTCCTAACTCATTCTGTGAGAACAGAATTACCTGAGACCAAAACCAGACAAGAAAAAAAGAATGTTACAAGTCAGTGTCATTAATGAATATATATGCAAAAATCCTCAACAAAATACTAGCAAACTGAATTCAACAATACATTAAAAATATCACTCATTATGATCAAATGGGATTCATCCCAGGGATGCAAGAATGGTTCAACATACACAAATCAATAAATGTGATACATCAGATCAACAGAATGAAGGACAAAAATCATATGACCATTTCAATAGATGCCAGAAAAGCATTTGATAAAATTCAGTATTCCTTTATGATAAAAACTTTGATCAAATGGGTATAGAAGAAGCATACTTAAAAATAATAAGGCCTTGTATGACAAACCCATGGCTAACATATTGAACAGAGAAAAATCAAAAGCCTTTCTTTTAAAGACTGGATCAAGACCAGGGTGCCCACTTTCACCGCTATCATTCAACATAATACTGAAAGTCTTGGCCAGAGCACAAGAGAAAGAGATAAAGGGCATTCGAGTTGGAAAGGAAAAAGTCAAATTAGCCTTACTTGCAGATAACATAATCTTATATTTAGAAAAACTTAAGGATTCCACTGAAAACCTGTTAGAATTGACAAATTCAATCAGTAGCATTTCTATACACCAAACAACTTGAAAGAGAAATCAAGAAAGCAATCCCATTTACAATAGTTACAAAAATATAAAATACCTAGGATTAAATTCCTCCAAAGAAGTTAAAGATTTCTGTAAGGAAAACTAAAAAACTCTGATGATAGAAAGTGAAGAGGACACAAAAAATGTAAAGATATTCCATGCTCATTTATTAGAAGAATTAATATTAGTAAAATGTCAATTCTGTTCAAAGGGATCTATAGATTCAAGCCCTATAAAAATACCAATGAAATTCTTTGCAGAAGTAGAAAAACAATCTATAAATATATATGGGACTACAAAAGACCCTGAATAGCCCTCCCCCCACCAGAAAAAGTACTGAGCAAAAACACCAAAGCTAGAAGCATCACACTACCTGACTTCAAAATTTATTACAGAGCTATAGTAACAAAAACAGCATATTACTGGCATAAAAAAAAAATGGACCAATGGAATAGAAAATCAGATATAAATCCACACATTTACAACCAACTCATCTTCTACAAAGCTTCCAGGAATTTACAGTGGGGAAAGCAGTCTTCTCAATAAATGGTGCTAGGACAACTGGATAATCATATATGGAAGAATGAAACCAGACCCCTATATCTCACCATACACAAAAATCAAATCAAAATGGGTTAAAGACTTGCCTCAAAACCTGAAATTATGAAACTTCTAGAAGAAAACACAGGAAAATGCTCTAGGAAATTTGTCTAGGTAAAGATTTCTTGTATATGACCTTAAAAGATTAGGCAACTAAGGCAAAAATAGACAATTGAGATTATATCAAGCTAAAAAGCTTCTGCACTGCAAAGGAAACAATCAACAAAGTGAATAAACAACCCATAGATTGGAGAAAATATTTGCAAACTGTCCATCTCACAAGGGATTAATAAGAATATATAAGAAACTGAAACAACTCACTAGCAAAAAATAAATATTCTTAAGAATGGGCAAAATATGTGAGTAAACATTTTTCAAAGAAGACATACAAATGACCATATAAAAATGCTCAACATCATTAGTCATCAGAGAAATGCAAATCAAAACCACAAGGTGATGGTAATGAGTCTATCAAAAGGATATCTGACTCCAATGTTTATTGCTGCAGTATTCACAATAAATGAGATATGGAATCAACGCGTCCATACGCAAATGAATGTATAAAGAAGATATGGCATATATCACAACGCAATACTATTTATTCATAGAAAATAATGAAATCCTGTCATTTGCAGCAACATGGATGGAATTGGAGGTCATTATGTTAAGTGAAATAAGCCAGGAACAGAAAGACAAATATCACATGGTCTCAGGAATATGTGGGAGCTAAGAAAGTGGATCTTCTCAAGGTAGAGACTAGAATGATGCTTACCAGAGGCTGGGGAGTGTTGAGTAGAGGAGAATGAAGAGAGGCTGGTTAATGGGTAAAAACATGCAGTCAAATAGAAGGAATGAGTTCTGTTCCATAGCACAGTAGGATAACTATAGTTAACAATAATTTATCGTATATTTCAAAAAAGCTGGGAGAGAAAATTTGAAATGTTCACAAAATAAAGAAATGACAAATGTTTGAGGTAATAGATATCTTAAATACCATCATTGCACATTGTATGTATGGATAAAATATCACATTCACTTGTCTCCAATTAATATGTACAATTATTATGTATCAATAAAAAGTAAAGAAGGGTTCCTGCTCTCGAAGCATCCACAATCTAACTGTGGATGTTGGGAGGTGGGATGGAGGCATAATAGCCTCACAAATGCAAAATTAAATTGATAATGCCTAGGAGAGAAAATAAACCAATTCAAGAGAGCCTAGAGCTAAAAAGAAAACAAAAAGACACAATACAGTGGTTTCTCAATTGCCAAAATTGTTTATGATAATACATGCCTCTTCATGGTCTTATTGAAGTCACTTACTCAATCACTGTCACTTATTTAATTACTTTTGCAAAACAAATTCTGGATCTTACAGTTAACCAGATTTTATGCAAATGGAGTTAATTATGTATTGGAAACCTAGTGGTACCGAAAAAAGACCAAAATATTTCACTTTACAAGTCTTGAATTTTGTTTCCACCCTTATTACTTAAAGTAAGTTGTTTGACTTGAATGTAAAGTCAAATCTCTGATAATTTTTAAATCTCTGATAATTTTTCTCTTTAAAATAGGCAGAAACTCAGCCTCCTGTTTTCCCACAATTGTTATAAGCCTTGTTAGAGAAAATGTGAATGTAGTTATTAATTTTGGTGATAATGGTCTTATGCATATTTTTTGATAATTAGAATTGAGAAGTGGATATTTTTAAGGTCTGTGTTTCAAAATAAGGAGGTTACTCAAGATGTCAGGCTGGATTGACCACTGCCCCAGTTCATGAAAATGACCTAGGTGAATTGTTATTAATGGGGCCTAAATACTTCTAGAATTGTTATAGATTGATATCCAACACTGAGATCAGTAAATAATCAGCATATCAGAAATCACTTCCAGTTGGTGATGGGAAATAAATGATAGAGAAAATCAAAATCCTTTAAGACTGGACAATTTTATGAAAGTTAACACCTAATTTTATCTTCTTTGGGTCATTGTTCTAGCCCATTGCTTAAATTACTTTTGGATGTTCATCCTTTCCCCCACCTGGTTCTTCTCTCTAGCAGGAAGGGGATATGTGAAAACTGTGTCTCTCAGGTTCCCTGGTCTGTTGGCTTTCATTGAGGTTCTATCAACCTAAGTGGCAGGATACTGGAGTTGGGAAAGGACAGCTGGGTGCTTTCTCTGCTCTTCTTTCTGGTTTGTGTGGAATCTTTAGCGTTGAAGATTCCTCTTCCTCTGTGATTCTTGTTCTTTTTAGACAGCTCCTTCTTGCCACCTGTTCCTTCCTTTATGGTCTCAGTCCTACCTGGAAGCCCATACTATGAGTCTAACTCCTGCCCATGGTCCCTCCTCCAGAGTTTCAGGTATCCCCTGGTGGCCTCTTCTGCGTGGCTTATCTGGTGGTTCCTTGGGAAAGCCCTTCATTGGAGTTGCGGCTCCCTCTTGGTGACCCTAGCTTCTGGACTCTGATATCATCATTTCCTCCTCCCTATGTACCTCCAGTTTTAAGGATACAAACAGTAGCTTCCTGCAGATGATTTATATCTGGGCTTCTCATCTTTCCCTGTTTTTAGCTTTTCTGAAAACTTTGTGACTAGTTTGCTGAGTTAAATTCCCTGGTGTAGTTCTGCTAATAGGCAGTGTATATATAGCTCATTAAAATGAAGAAACAAGTTGAAAGAAATGGAATGGGTGAGTAAAAAAAACAAACAAACAAAAAAAAAAACGGCTTTTTTTTTTAACCAAATGCCATTATGCTTTATATACTATAAGAACCATTTTTTTTTAATCAAGTCATCATGATGTTGATATAGGTTTGAAATTTTGGTGTAGGTTCTGTGACAATATAAGTTATAAGATGGCATTTTAAAACCTGTACAGGTTATTCATTAATTGGTTCCAGACCACAAAATAAATTTTTTTTAAACCATCATCATTTGTAGAATAATTTTGCCTAAATTCTGTCAGCTCTTCATGGAGAATAGTTTAGAACTACAATTTTCCAAGAAATAAACTAGTATAGATTTTTAATTGATTTCCCAGTAAATCAATGAATAAGTCCATCATTTAGAGGGAATGAATAATTTTCTTTCAAAAATTTGGATAGACTGTGTTCTGAACATATCACTGTGTGTCTACATTTATAGAATTAATAGAAATGAATGTATTATCATTAGAAATCTGCATTAGAACTAAATAATTATGATATATAAAAGCCTTTTTACCACATGCTTTATTTATTTTGAACTTCTTATTTATTTGTAGTCTTTCATAATTACTGTCTTTCTTGAATTAAAAAGCTGATAGAAATATTTCTTTTCAATATAGCAGCCGGGCCGCATTTATGCTGCATTTAATGAATGTGTCTAGTATTTGCCTGCCTTCTCTAGTGTGAGGAACAATCCCAGGACTTTGCTCAAGGATTTGTTAAATGTGAGTTGCTTAGAGAAAGTAAATTTAGGATGCAGCTAAATTGGTGATGTTCTCTTTAGGATACAGCTAAATTGGTGATGTTCTGTTTAATTTGTTATAATTTTCATCTTTTGTTTTCCCTCAATAAGTATGCTCAGGTTTTAGAATGATTGGTTCCAAATAAAGGATGAGTGATCCTCATTCAAACCTAAATATCCAATTAAAGCTCTATCTACTTCATCAATGTCCCATTTATTAACATTGAGAAGGGATGAGAACCTCTACATATTCAAGTTTAAAAATAATTTTAAAGAACCACATTCTGTTTTAATTTGTCCTATATACCTAGTGATGTTAAGTACAAAATGCCATGAGGAAAGAGCACCGTGCAAAAGGTTGAAGCCCAATTTAAGGCTGATAATGAGAATAAAGAGCTGGATTCTGATATAATGTGTCAGAAGTACTTAGTTATTTTCTTAAATTCATAAATTCATTTAAATTCATAAATAATAATTATTGATCAACAGTTACATGACAGATACCATATTAGACATTTTGTATATACTATGTCTGAGTAAGACTCTATTCCACCTTTTCTCCAACTGGCATATTAGAATGCTCAAAACAAAAAACAAACTGGAAGGGTCTTAGTTGAAAAACAGAATGGCAGAAAGTTGATGATTATTTAAAAGAAAAGTAAATGTTATTAACAGTAAGAAATGTATACTGAAGCCTTATTATGCAAAATATACAAATGTCTGGGATCTACTTTAAAGGACTCCAAAAAAACCCCAAATAAAATAAAAAACAAATAAGTAAACAGAATGCATAAATATAGATGAAAGAATATTGATTCTAAGTAGGCGAGCAACATGATAAGTTTTGTAGTTTGAAAGATCACTATGGAGACCTGATTGGAGAGACTAGAAAATTGATTAGAGGGAGTGACTGGAGAAGACTGAATTCACTCCATATCTATGACCACTTATTTTTTCTGTTATTTTGTTATGCTTGGACACTGGCTTTCCCTTGCTTTTCCTCTCCAAGGATTGGCCCTTGTTTTTCTGCCTTCTTAGCTCCTGGTTGACAACCTCACAAACCTGGCTGACAGCCTGAAACCACAGAACTATGTGTTTGGTTTCAAGCTTCACCCATGCTTAGAAATGCTTTCTATTAAACCACCCTACCAAATAAGATTACCCTACAAACTAACCATGGCCCATATCAACCCCAAATTTACCACTGGCACTATAATTTGTTTCAATGGAGACTAGTCCTATAGTTCAGTTTGACTCATTAGCTCTGTCCTTATTTTGTGTTTGCTTCTCTTTGTTATTCATCCATGTCTCTGAGGGACCAGAATCCTTACAAGTGGGACTGCCTGAATTAAATCTGAAGCCGACTTTCTCAATTCTTGTTAACTTGTATTAGCATTTTATAAAGAGTGAAGTCTAAATTATTTTTAGAAAATTTATCATTTGTCATGGAGAAGAGTCATAAAAATTATAATCTCTCAGCATAGTTATTGTGAGGTGGAAAAACTCTCCAGAGGAAAAAAAAGAAAACAATGTTTAGAATATTGTTTTTAGCATGCAAAGATATTCTCCAACATAAAAATATTGGAAAATATCTTTGCAAAGCTACCTGAGTATTTTGAATATTGTAAACTAAATAATAGAGACTTGGGTATAGTCTGAGTAATGCCAGGTTATGGTTTGGTAAGTAACTAAAAATTTCAGAGGCTTAAATCAATAAAAAGTATTGTGTTTTTATTGTAATGTCTGTATTTGTCTTTTTAATTATCTGTAATATTTCTTTGTCAGACTAGAATAGTTGGAATTTCTCTCTTTTGCCATTACATAAATGTGTTTGGAAAGGAAAAAAAAAAAAACCTCAAACCTCTTTTCAAAAGTCAGAATATGAAAGTCTTTTTTATATTTATCTAAATTATCAAATAGTGTCATGAATTAGGTGACTAAACTGAGCTGAAAGCAGAGACTCTAGATGGAAACTTCATTTTTACATCTAGTATGAGCCTGCAAAGGGAGAGAGGTTGACTTCTTTTGGGTTTGTTTAGAGCCTCCCTATCTCTTTGGTGACATCTGCCCAGCTTGTAGCTGTATTGCCGAGATACTTGTTTTGTTGAGAGAATCCAAAAAGCCATCAAAATATGAGTAGGAAATTTACATATATATCATTTGTTGGTGTCACTTTTAGTTGTTGCCGTATTGTAGGTATAGTCAAAGATTTCTAAGTATTAGTAGAGAGGTTTTTTTTTCCTCCTGACACCAAATATGTGATGTCTTTTCCAACATCACTTCAACTTTCCAACAACAGCTAGATGTTCTATAATTCAGGTCAATTCTGACACTAACTACCCAGAGTTAGCATCAGACCCCATAGTTTTAAGGGCTCAGTCCCATAGGAATGCCCTGACTTCAGATGTTAGTTGCAAGCATCAAATCACCCATATTTCTGATCAACTGGTGATAAATCGGAGGTTTCCATGGACTCTCTCCTCAGGTTTAATGATTTGGTAGAATGGCTCACAGTGGCTCAAGAAGCCACTTAATTGGGTTTACTGGTTTATTATAAAGGATAAAAATAATAGGCAGATGAAGAGGTATGTAGAATGAGGTTCAGAAAGGTTCTAAAGGCAGGATCTTCTGTACCCCATGGAGTCAGGGTGAAGAACCCTCCTGGCATGTAGATGTATTCTCCAATGAGGAAGCTCTGAGAACCCCATCATTTACAGGTTTTTAATCTAGGTTTCATTATGTAGGTATTACTGTGGCCATTGATGATTAACTCAATCTCTAGCCCCTCTCCTCTTTGCAAAGGTTGGGAGCTGAGACTGAAAGTTCCACGCTTATAATTCAGGCTTGGCCTTCTTTCTGGCAACCAGTTCTCATCCTGAAGCTATCTAGGAGCCTGCCAAGAGTTTCCTTATTAGAACAAAAAATGTTCCTATTATCCTTATCCCTCAGGAATTTCCAAGAGTTTTAGGAGCTCTGTGCCAGGAACTGGAAACAAAGACCACATATGTTTTTTGTTTTACCACAAATTAGTATCAAAATTTATAAGCCCATAATTAAGATGCAAATTACAAACTAGGAAAGTGTTGGGATATGAATATGCTGAATAATGTTATAGATACCTTCAGTTATCTATTTCTGCAATAATGTCACATAACAGCCATGAAATCTCAGTGGCAAAAACAATCAGCATTTTATTTAGCTCACAGGTCTATAGGATTTAGCTGATCTCCTCTGGACTCATTCATGTGTCTGTGGTCAACTGATGGGTAGTGAGGCAGCTCTACTGATCTGGACTGGGCTCTCTCACAAGTCTGAGAGCCAGCTGGCTGTCACTTAACACAGGATAGACTTGGCTGGGATGACAGGGGATGATTCAGCTTTACTCTATGTGTCTTTCATCCAGCAGCCTAGCAGAGATAAATTCTCATGGCGATGGCAGAGGAATAAAAACCAGTAGAAATGCAGACACCTTTTCTAATGTCTGTATCACATTAGCTAGCATGCCATTTGTCAACACAGGTCACATGATTGATCTCCATGTCAAGGAGTAAGTATAACATCTTTTCCTGAGTAGGCAGGTACTGCAAAGTTACATGGCAGAAAAATAGAGACATAGGGTGGGACAAAGAATTGGGCCTTCAGTGTAGTCAATGCATAACACTATATAAAGAGCTCCTATACATCTATAAGAAAAAACATGAACACCCCACTAGAAAAATGAGTGAAGACAAAGACATAATTACTAGACAGAAAATATAAATAGCCACAGGGCATAATACTACATTTAAAACATTTTTATAGTGAATTTATAATTATTATAATAATAAAGCTTTATTTAATGTTGGTGAAGTAGTATGACATGTAGTAGTATTATATTCTGTAGGGTAGGGAATAATTCAGTGGTTATTTCATAGAAAAATTGTTGACATCTTATTAAGTGTGTTTTAAATAATATTAAGCCTGTAATCTAGTAAATCCCTATCTTGGAATATAAACATTAAAACATTGTTAATTAGCATAACTGTTCACACACATTTATTTTTCAGCATTATTTATATGAGCTAAAAATAAACACACTCTCTACACATAACATCTAGGGAGTGTGGGAAGGTCTATGTGAATTAGGGGCTGGATGGCAAGTGGTCCTGGCAGGATGGTGTGCACACTCTGCCTTCCTGCTGGGATGAGAGGCAAGAGCGTGTCTGATCCGACTCACACGATGTAGTTTGAATTCAAATTCCTCACTTAGGAAAAACATAACAGTATTTCTGGAAATATAATGAGAGAAAAGGCCCCCATTGAAGAAATATAAAGACAATGAGGGTAAAGTTGGGAGGCTGGAGCTTAAAATTTGATGATAGTTATTATTTTAATTAAAGTAACTACAATTTATCGTGGACCATGCTACATTCCAAGTGGTAGGGATTTCAAATACATGAATTCATTTATTCTTCATAGTTGGTAAGATAAACATTATTGTTTCTGTCTTACAGGTGGCAGAACTGAGGATCAGAGAAGTAATACTTTGTGCATGGTCACACAGTTAGTTGAGTGGAAAAGCCAGGATATGAAGAAAGGACTTTCTGACTCCAAAGCCAATGTAGTTTCCACTGTTCCATAGAGTAAAACACTCATTTTATCTTCTGCACTTTGGATAATAAAGATGTAGAGTGACCTAGAATAGCTGAAATGGGATGTGATAACACAGTTTCTCAGGCACACAAAAAAACTAGATTGGTTATTGCTTATGTAGTAGGAAGAATAACAGCCCCTCAAGTTGTTCACATCCTAATCCAAAACACCTGTGAGGATATTACCTTGGCAAAAGGAACTTTTCAGATGTGATAATGTTAAGGATGTTGAGATGAGGAGGTTATCCTGTATTGTTCAGGTAAGCCCCTATAATCACAAGGGTTATTATAAGAGGCAGGCAGGAGAATCGACATCAGAGAATGAGGAGATGATTACAGCAGAAGTCTGAATGATACAAGGAATGGGCCATGAGCTAAGAAATGTGGGCAGTCTGTAAAAGCTGGAAAAGACAGGGAAGCTCCAGAAAGAATGCAGGCTTGCAGACTCATTTTAGACTCCTGATCTCCAGAACTGTGACATCATAATTTTATGTTGTTTTAAGCCACTAACTTTGTGGTAATTTTTAATAGCAGGATTTCAAAACAAATGTACTTACCATACTTGTTCTGTTTAAATTATAGATATAATTAAGCTGTGGGTTATCTATTTGGTTATTTTATATGGATTCACATTTTGTTATCCTATTTTATCAGTATGAAGGTAAACTAATTTTAGACAAAATCAAGTTTCTAAGTCAATAACTGAATAAGTCAGTTTATTTCTGACAATAAGGAAATTCAAATAAATTCAAATAAATAATCTCACACAAATATAGAGAATAAGATTGATTCCATTAGATAGTCAGCTAATGATACTGTTAAGGACAAACTCCTAAAACTGTGTATTATGGGAAATTTTCCAACTAGAGAGATAGGAAAGAAACACTGTGCAAAAGGGTGCAAAAATCAGTTAGGGTGGAGATGGTACTGGTCACCTCCTGTGAGGCTCTTGACCAAAGGAAGCATTTAAGATGTCTTTCTGTATGCCACTTTTTGCATGATATGTTTTCAGTCTAGACGGCCTTATGCATTAATAGAAGGAACTACGTATTGGCCATTTTCTTGCAATCAGTTCCAAGACACAATGGGTTTGGCTTTCCTGTAGCATATAAACACAGCTAAATTCTGAACTGATTAGATACCAGGTATAAAACAAGGCCGAATTATTTCAGCAGTAAGAGCAGCACAAGGCACCTTCAAGTCCTTTACTGGGGGTTCATTGGATCTGGAAGGAAGCAATGCCCATATCCTTTCTCCTGAACACTAGGTCCCAAGGAATGACATTCATAGAGCCCAGGAATCTTTCAAACTGAGTGTGGCTGGATGTGTACGTGATGGCAGTGGCTTTCCTTGGATCAGAGTTTGGCTGAGTAGGGTCCCCTTCACAATCAAGCCAAATAATAGCTGCTATAGGACCTGTCCCATAAGCAGGATTCTGTCTTTCATAGTATTTATTAGTAAGACTACTAATAATGCATAGTAGTGAGGCTTAATGCTTATTAATCTGTCACTTCTTCCAAGAGAATATAATAGCAATAATTAAAGGCAGAGAACAATTTCTAATTACTAGTTTGCACTCCTTCTAATTCTCTTGCCTATAGGAATAGTGAAAAGGGAGGAGAATAGTCTGGGCTATGAGGGGGGTCTGTCTAGCATATTTGATATAAATTAATTGTTTTTTAAGTAATATCAATTAACTTATATGTACATTCTAATTGGTATAGGACATGCTGAACGTGGCCGTGTATATACCCCTGAAAAAATTAAAATAATCACTCTTTTGAAATAAAATATCTCCTATTAGAGATGGATAGTGATACAGGTCATAAAATTCTAGTTGAATTCTCAAAATTGATATTTTAAAATACAGAATTTGGAGCACAACTTTATCGTCTTCTGGGAGATACAACTCTATATTGTGTTTTTTTTAATGCAAGCTCAACCTTCTATAAAGCTTGACATTAAATTGTTTTGGTAAAGGAGAGATGAGTTTTATTAATATGTAGATTTTAAATACATGAGAAAAATGTCATTTTATAGCAGTTTGAACATATTACTATAAAAATGTAGAAAAACTTAAGCCAAGTTAGAAAAATTTATCTAAGAAAAATGCTAATGGTTTTTTAAAAACTGATTTTAAATATGCGGTATACAGTTAAGCAAATCATGAAATGGTTCTATCTTGTTTGTTTCATTTTGGAGGGATGTGTATTACAGAGTTTCAAATGATAGTGATGTTTATTAGGCCCATTATAGATATGAAGTATTGCCACTAATCGGTGTGACCAGTGTCAAGCAACAGCATAAGATTTAAAAGCAGTTAAAAACAGTTTTCCTCCTTAGATCCTAATGTCTAAGTGGTGTGATACCATCTTGGAGGTATGATAAATCATCTTCTAGGTTAAAATTCATGGAATGGAGTCAAACTTTACTCTTTTATCAGAATTTATACTTGACAGCAGATAAATTATTATAACTAGTGATAAATAATGATTTCACATTTTTTGACTTGTTTTTATATCTACAAGAGATAATCTAATCAGAAACTAATATATCTGCATATTTACAATTATTATATCACTGGGTGACAACATCAGCTTCCTAAAAAATTTCAATGGAGATACTTCCAATATGCTGAAGTTCTACCTTCCAAACAATTGCATACATGATCTTATCAACATATTAAATATGTGTGGGATTGTACAAAACTGTTATGGAATCATTTCCTTGTGGTTCTAGCTTCAGTGGATGATAATAGTTTTGGAAATTGGAATAAAACTGTTATTTTTCTCTTGTTTCATCTTCCAGTTGAAAACAAGGGAATTTACAGATGTGATACTTTGCAGTGATGATTATATTATAGGCCAACGTGCTCTAACAGAAACATCTGCAAAGGTAAAGAAGTATTAAGTGGGGTTTAAAATTGATGTATAATTATAAATAGTTTAAAATAATAATGCTTATAAAAGAAATAGTAATGATCTTGGCTAAAATTCAGAAGCATCCCTAAGACATATATTTTAAAAGAGACAAAGATGGAAAAGGTTTTTATCCTAGACCTTTAGTTATTATCAAACTTCTTTGTATTCAATATACCATTTTAAATTAAATAATGAAATAGGAATGACAATTACATTATATTATAATTGATTTTTTGTGATTGTAGAAATTGTTGTTGTAAGAGTAAGAATAAAAATAATATTGCCAAATAGAAAAAGTAATTATTCATAGATTTTATATTATATACTAAGAAATTCTGAGTAGTTAACTCAAAACTATTAGATATAATGAAAAAATATCATTGAAGGGGCTGAGTAAGAAAAACTTAAAACACAAAAGTGTTGCTGCATTCCAGCAATAACTACCTAAATTATATTTGATAAAAATATGACTTACAACAAAAAGATAAATATTCTGGGGAATAGGCAATAAGCAATTTGGATGAGTCATGAAGAGAAACTGCAAAATCGGGATATGCTCAAGGACACATACTTTATACATCAGAGTGGGTGTTCATGGAGTGGGGGAAGGAGAGATTTGTTATTAATGGAACAGAAATGAAGTAAGAACTGAGCTTTGATTACATTAGTGACAAGGACATGATGAAGAGAGGATTATGTTTAATTTAGCTCCTTGCCCCTGAGGTTAAAAAAAAAAAGGTGGAGAATAACAGATAACTGGAACACGTATCATATTCCTAATTGTTTTCACTAAATATTGTGAAAATAGACATTCTGTCAAGGTAATTTACATTTTGAATACTATACTCATTAGCATTCCTACTGAAGTTTTCTTTGGCATTTTTAAGGTTACATAGAGGTACAACTAGGCAAGAACTTTAAAAAAGGAAATATTTGTCAGTGACAGGGAGTTTCAGTAACTGTATTATATGAAGACCTCATGCCAAGGGAATGGGAAAATATTTTGAGAAAAAAGGGTTAGAAGCTTATAATTGTTATAAACAGATAATTTATATGAAAAAAGAGGAAGATAAGCAGAAAACTAGAGGTTCTATTCATATCACCTTTTAGGATCCTTACCATTGCCAGCCTCATTTTACAGAAAAGTGGAGACAGAGAGGTTAGGTAGATCACCTGAGGGCACAGCTCAATTAACAACCATTTATTGGCTTAAGGAACTAATTGGCAGGCATTGGCTAAAAGGGTGGAACTTGAGTGTGCTCAACACACACACTCACATGCACACAGACACACGTACACAGATTTAAAAAATAGTAGCTATGTGAGGTAATGGATATGTTAATTAGCTTGATGTAGTGGTAATTTCACAATGTTTATCAAAACATCAAGTTGTTTACTTTAAATGTATACAATTTTTATTTGTCGGTTTTACCTCAGTAAAGTGGAAAAAAATCTTTATAACAATGGAGGAATCTAGGAAACAGTCATGAAAATGTATTAATTTTATTAGCTACCAAAGAAGTGCAAATAACTTTTTGCCCTTAATTAGTAATACAAGAGCATAATTCATAACACTCAGAGTTTCTGGAATTAGAAAAAATTCCTGACACTTATTTATCACTATTACTTGTGGTGGCTTTCCAAAAGATTGTTCTTTTTTTTATATAATTTGGCAATGGATTTCAAGTTATAAACTTATTTGTGTAATTTAACTAAATTATGTCATTATCCATAATCCAATTATTGTTCATTATATTTGAAATTAGTTATAATGAGGGAAATAGGTATATCCATGTAAAGATTTATTTTTAACAATAGTTAGCCATAAAGAGGAAAGGGGGGCATTAATACTTAATAGTGGGGAAAATTTTAATCAATGAGAGTTCAAATGTTTAATAGAATATTAAACCTCCATTGAATATGATAAGATAGAGAAAGAGTAAGAGGGGGGGAGGGAGAGAGAGAGAGAGAGAGAGAGAGAGAGAGAGAGAGAGAGGGAGAGAGAGAGAGGGAGAGAGAGAGAGAGAGAGAGAGAAATAGGGAAGAAAGGAGGAAACTATGGAAGTAAAGCTGTTTAATTGTGTGATAGTAAATTAATTGGTATGTTCTTTATTTTTTATTATTTTTATAATAAAATGGTTCTCCAAATTTAAAAAATTATGTCCAATGCAACTAAGTCCAAAATACACTAGTTTAAAATAATAAATTAGGAAAGAATGTTACAATATATACACTTTATTTTGCATTGAGTGTTGTCATGAAAGATGATAAATGAAGTAGAATTTTTAAGTTATCTCCTAAAACTCTAACAATATCTGGCACCAACCAAAATGGAATTTGTTTTGGTTTTAATTCCAAGATAGCTTTACTAGTTTCATCCATTTTAATAGCCTAAATTTCAGGTCTTCAAGATTTCCTAAGCTTGGTAAACTTTTATATGAGAAATGAAGACTTTGTCTTCTAACAGGAAGCATAAGATATCATAAGATAAGCAAAGACCAAGATTTTGCAACCTGTGAGCATCCCTGCTATACCTAAAGCCAATTTTGAGACAGGTGAAAATATCCCAAGTTTCTCTTTTCTCTCCTGGGTCCATCCCTCTGTTTTTGCTCGTACACCTCGTGTAAATCTTTCAAATGGGTAGTGAGTTCATTTTTCCCCCAGATGTTATTTTGTAATTCTTTCTCATTGACTGACATCCTCCAAATTCTTGGCCTTCCTTTTCAACAAGAAATGCATAATTGACAGTGATTTCAGTCTTTTTCAGTCTTATACTTGCTTGCCCTGGGAAAGTAGGACTTTTAAGAAAATTAAAACTTCATATAAAATTCTCAGTTGCAAACTTGAGGCTGATTTACTTAAATTTATCATTTATTTACTCTTTTAATATTCACCGAGTACCTGTGATGTGCCAGGCTCCAGACTGAATCAATCCTCCTAAAACCCATCCTCCACCCCCATCACAGATCCACTAATCAAATAAATTTCAACACCTGCTGTCACCACACATCCCTATATATTTGTCCCCTTTCTGTTTTTTCCTCCCTTTTTCCTAACCTTTGAGAGCCTATCATTAATTTTCTCAGAGTGCCTTCTGGAAATCTCAGTTCACTGTCAATAGGTGTTTTTATATGCTTGAACTTTTTCTTGACCACTACATTTACCTCTAGACCTTAATATTTTTTCCTCTTACCGTACCAGTTTCTGAACAACCATTCAATTAGATACCCTCACTTTCTGTCTCTCTCTCTCTCTCTCTCACATGCACACACACACACACACACACACACATACCCCACATACATATTTACACCTATTTACTTTGAAGCATCATGTATAGTCAGCATTTTTTCTGGCTCCCATGAATGTCCAGTATTTTAAAGCTTCATTCTTCAATGCTTCATAAATTTGATAACATGAATTTAGTTCATTTTACAAGTTCTTTGGCACCTGAGTTCCTAGTTTAGCTCACAGTTAATGAGTTTCTGATCCAAAAGTAACCATATACCTCTAGGATTTCATCTGACCCAATGACTCCCTTTTTCACTTTGACAATCCACACATCAAACTACATTTAAAATCTTTTTATCACCTAGAGCTGCTGTCACTGAAATGTTGATCTCTAAAATTCTCAGACTACACTTTATATCCTACTTCCCTTATGCACTTTCTCCCTTCACTTCCACTTAACCTATTGCTTGTTAGAATAGGAAAAGTCAATATGGATGTGCTTGAGGGATGTCATCACCTCTCTGGCTTCATTGCTGTTTGCTTTTCAATCAGGCTATATCTCATAGTGAATTATTTTGGTGACATTCTCACCAGCATCATTAATTGATTTATCTACATTTCATGTATTTGTTTAATTCTGTTCTTTATGCATCAATAGTCAGGGGGAAAAGGAATGAATCCAGAGGACAACTTAAGGGATTTTAACCCTTTGAACTCACTTGCTTTTTTCTCGATTCCTTTATTCTACTTGGGATTTAATTTTTTAAATGCCCCAGGTTTTACAAAGCATGGCAGTAGAATAAAAAACTGGAGTTTCTTTTCATACAAACGTATTTATTTGGATTTTTTAAAATTTCAAATTATTGATACATTCAAAGAGTAATTTTAATTTCTATAATTTTTGCTAACCGTGTCAAGTCACACTTGACATCCGAGTGCAAAGGGTTAAAATTGGGATAAAATTGTATACATAAGTTTATCTTTTAGAAAATTATGATATTGTGACCCTGCTCTATTATTAGAAAGTTCAATTAATAATTTAAAAAGAACATAATTTTTGTGTATTTTTGAAGAAAATAACCTTATTTCCTTTTTGTAAATAAAAAAATACCAAACAATACCAAGAAAATCCATACTAAATTATCCAATATTTCATTACCTAGAATTTTAGTGTTAACATTTGTTAATACCATTCTTGTCACCTCTTGATAGTAATAATGGTATAAAAATATAATCACACACTAAAATGCATTAAATATCATTCTAACTGAATTTAGCATGAGGAAAAATATAAGGTGAAACTAAAAATAACTTCTAATTTTCAACAAGTAGTTTTTATGGTGGAGGATATTAGAAGCTTATGTGATTCAACTTGCATCTGTATTAAGAAGTTGGAGCCTTGGAATTTTAACTACAGTTCAGTTTTAGAGAACATCAGTTTACTCAACAGCTATGAAAGACATTAGCTCTCTGGGAATTTTTCCACTTCTGGACTAGTGTTTCTTTTTTTATTTTTTTGAGGCAAATAACAATGTGCATTGTTTTTTTATAAGCATAATTCTCCTTATTGTTTAGTGTTGGATAATTTTTTTGCAGTGTTCACCGCTTGCCATTTTATTCACCTGCATCCATTTTTGATGTTCACATTAGCACCGAATCCTTCTCCCAATTCACGCCAGCATCCTAGCAAAGAAGAAGCCCCAGCCAATAGCCCTTCTTATCCTTGAGATCTTAATTGACTTA